CCAGATCCCACCGTCACCTCCGCTGAATCTGGTGATACTCGGGACTCATCTCAGTCCCCCATCACCAGCAGGTGCGCTTTCTAAGTCACGCTTTCCTGAGACCAGCCCTCCAGTGAACGGGCAATCTTTAAGAACATTCGGATTATCAGCAAGGAGAGGGAGCCGATACTTGTGGCCAGATTTCAAACTGGTCAAGAGGTAGTAGAAGGTCAGTTCCAGAAGCCTGGGGCTCAAGTTATGACTGTTGTCCCAGGAAAGGCCAAAGGTAGATTCTCTTTAACACAATGACCAGTGTTCTCTGGGTCCTTGGTGATGTTTCAGTGGGTTGAGTATGGATGTGAATGTGTATGGGTCTGGGTTGTGTTTAAACACGGGGCCACTTCTGTTGCACACACCACTCAGCTCCCAAACATTCTCTGCTCAGAAGATTTCTCACAGGTCCCCAAGCCACGATGCTGCCATCAGGATGTAACAAGTTGCAAAGAGCAAGTGAGAGGTCAGCACTGTTCAGGCTGGGCTCACAGGGGCATCCGAATAGGATCACAGTGGGTCCAGAGAGTCCTAGACTTCAAGACAATAGCTTTGAATTTAGATTCAGACTCTGCGAGTAACGGGGGTGATGAGCACAGCTTCCCACCCGTTGGAGCCTCATTTCTTTAGCTATAAAATAGGCAGAAGAATACCCCCAGATTGTTGTTAGGCTAAAGGGAGACAATATGAGGCTGTCTGAGGAGGTCTGTGCAATGCCCGGTACAAGTTCATGCTTAATAAAGGTTATTGGAAATAGATTCTTGTCCTCAATCTTTTTGGTTTTAAAACTTGACTTTGGGAAAGGGAACCTTCGAACATTGTTGGTGGGATTATAAATTGGCGCAACCACTATGGAAAAAACAGTATGGAAATTCTTCAAAAAATTAAAAATAGAGCTGCCATATGATCCAGGAACTCCACTTCTGGGTATTTGTCTGAAGACAACATAGACACTAATTCGAAAAGATATATGCACCCCTACTTTCACTGCAGCAGTACCAGTGACAGCCAAGATGTGGAAGCCACCTAGGTGTCCATCAGTAGGTGAATGGATGAAGAAGACATGGTACACACACACACACACACACACACACACACACAGAGGAATATTATTCAGCAATAAAAAAGAATGAAATCTTGCCATTTGCGATAACATGAACTAACGATAAAGAGCACTGGCTACTAAGAGATATTTCTACCATCCCACTTCTACACTAGGATTCAGATAATTAGCCTTGACCGCCTCAACAGACAAATCCTGAAATCTCAGTGGCTTAACTTAATAAAAAAGAAGTTTATTGCTCAATCACTATTCAAGGCAGGTTGGGGAGCTCTCCTACATGCTTCTCCCAGTGGGTGTCTCAGGGACCTGGGCTCTTCTGTCTCGCAGCTCACACTGCATGACCCTTGGCCTGCAAAGCCACGGGAACAGTGGGAAAGAGAAGAGGAGGGAACCACAGGCCAACTGCCTCACCTTAGAAGTGACACATGTCAATACTCACGTTTAACTGGACAAAATTCCCCAATGAACCCCAAAGGAAGCTGGGAAGTGAGGAGGAGAGCCAGGACCCTCTGCCAGCACTGGCAATTTTAGGCACAACCTTCCTCAGTGCAGAGAACGACATCGGTCACCAGCCTGAGGATTCTTTCTCCCTTGGGCAATGCTGGGACGATGCTGGCTCGTGCTCTTGAGTTCAGGCAAACACCCTCCTTTTGGCTCTGACGATGGAAGCCTGGGCGTATTGCCACCTACCACACCAGACAGCACAGTGTGTTTATTGTACTTAAATCTCCTTCACGGCTTTAGATGTTGTCGTGTATGTTTGAATATGGGAAATTTAAGTTGATTTAATGGTGAAATAAAGATAACTTGCTCAGTGTTTCTTAAAGTATATATTCTTTTATTTCTGATGCTAGAACAGCCCTCTTCCTCTTTCTTCTCTAGTTTTTTTTTTTTTAACAATTGATTTATAAATATATGCTGTTAGAAAATTGAAAAATATTAGAAAGTAGAAAAGAAAGTAAATCTGATAAACCTGATTCACAATCCCACTTCCAGTCACTATGTATGGAAAACACTGAATTTGGCGACGCCTTTTGCCCAGCGATGCCCTTTGCCCAGCAGAAAGTACTAAGCATGTTCACGAATCTAAACAGTTTTGCAGTCACTTGTTTAACTTTCTTTTAACCTATCATGGAACCCACCCCTACACATTTTTCTACATGGTATGTAATAATTTCCCAAGAACTAGAGTTCCGGGGCAAAGAAGACCCAATATACAAGGCAACACATCTGCAAATCCTCGTACAGTGGTTTTCTCCACTCTCCATCGCTGAGCACTGCTGTCTGAAGGCTGCTTTCACCCAGAGCGGATGGCCGAGGCGTCGCCAGGGCCCGAGGTCACACAGCAAGCTGCTGCCAGGGGCCGGTGCAGTGACAGGCCTCCTCTCAGACTTCAGCACCTGTGATCGGCCCACACATAGAAACCAGATGTGTCACTCTGTCTCCTCGTTACCTGTGAGAAAGGTGAGCTGGGTTGAGGGTTGTGAGGAATTTCTGATTCATCCAGCTAGTCAGCCCTTCAGGGGAAGATAAGAAAAAGTCACCTTACCTGTTCCCTACCTGTGGGCAGAAGTGGTGTGGTCCCGACAAATGTGTCTCAGCTGCTCGGAAAGTTTCCAGAAAAAATAAAGAGACTTCAGAGGTTCCCTTTGATAACCAATCCTATGTAAGTTTAATTCTATTCTTACTTTTCTATTATCAATGACCAGAATTAATAAACTCTTTCTTGTGCTTGCAGAAAAAAAAAACAACTGGCTAAAATTAAGGGGAAAAAATCTCATGAAATAATAGAAAGCAGTTCAGCTGGTGTGGCTCAGTGGTTGAGTGTTGACCCATGCACCAAGAGGTCGCCGGTTCGATTCCTGGTCAGGACACATGCCCAGGTTGTGGGCCCGATCCCCAGCGGGGGGGCATGCAGGAGGCGGCCAATCGATATTTCTATCTCTCTCTCCCTCTCCCTTCCTCTCTCTCTAAAATCAAGAAAGGAAAAAAAATAATAATGGAAAGCATAATGTTGAGCTTCCTGAAGGGCCTGCTGGTCACCCAGGCTTCCTGACATTGCCCCTCCCCTCCTCAGATGAAATGGACTATAGCATCTCTTCTTAGACAGCACAGGGAATCCACCCTCTTTCCCACACAGGACACCCCAGACTCTTCTATCTGCTCATCTGTGGCTGGTGCCATCTCCATCACTCACTAATGCCCCCACAGCCTTGTTCCCCATGGAGTAAACACGTTGGTTGTTATTATGCTCTGTGATTGGTTCAGTGGAGGCTGTATCAGCCAATTACCCCCAGGAACCTGCTGGCTACTCCATGAGGGCCCCACAGAGAGCCCAGACTCCAGGGTATAACAAGGGCACAGCAATGAGCCGTGTCCTAAGCACCAGTCTGCTTCACATTCATTGTGAATGTCCCTGGTGCCAAGGCCTGGGCTGAGCAAGGGGGAAGCAGGGGAGAGGAGAACTAATCCAGAGGACCTGTCAATCTGACGGGGGAAATAGGACACGTACCTAGGACTCAGACTGAGAGGCAGAATGATGAAATAGAACCTCACTGGGGCTGTTTCTGAGAGAAGAATTGAAGGCAACTTAGGTTGGAGAAGAGGAAATTGGGTTAGATCAAAGAAGGCTACTCTTGCCCTGGCCAGTTTTGCTCAGTGGTTAGAGCGTCGGCCTGTGGTCCAGAGAAACCTAGGTTCGGTTCCCGCTAAGGGCATGTATCTCGGTTGCAGTTTGTCCCCGGCTCTGGGTGGTCGTGCGGGTGGCAGCCACTTGATGTGTCCCTTTTACATTGATGCTTCTCTCTCTCTCTCTCCCTCCCACTCTATCTGAACAAAAAATGTCCTCGGGTGAGGATGAAAAAAAAAAAAAAAAAGAAAGCTACTCTTGTGCTTACATGGAATGAAGTCCTGGAATCTGGATCTTAATTTCAGATCAGCAGAATCTTCCTCAGCCCTTCTTGGCCTTGTTCTTAATAGTTGGTCACATATTGATCCAGAATCAGAGACTCCAGGTCAGGAAATGTCCTGATCAGAGATTCCTTGTATTGGATGAATATTCCTCCTCTGTCATTAAAGAACACCCTCTTCCCTAAAACCCCCCTCAGGTGAGACCATCTTCCTAAAGCTTTCCCATGTCATCTCCCCAAGCCATCTTCTCCCCACCTTCCCAGCTAGGATCTCCCCATTCTTATTCCAGAAATGCTATTTTGGAGAAGCATTTCAGCCACGGCCCAAAGTCATGCCCCAGCACTTGTGACCAGGGCTCTCAGTGCCCTTAAGTCTGTCACTGTGTCCTGCCTCCCCCAACAGACTGAGAGTTCCTTGCAGATAGACCAGAAGTCATAACTCCTCCAGCTTCCTTCCCAGACTCGGGACCGAGCCATCCTCATCCAGAAGCTTAAGGAAGCAGCAGGGGACAGGCTACGAATGATTCACTGGAATCTTCTTGACCCCGGTCATGTCCTGTAGCAGAACCAGCCTGGACCTCTGCTTCCTCGAACCTCTCTCTTCCCCCACACACCAGAGTGGCCAGACCCGATGGAAGTTGCAGGGGAGATCTTGGCATTGATAACCCCAGTAATTGAAGGGCGGCAAGTGGAGATAAGGCAGCCAAATTATTATAATGCAGGAGGTGAGAGAGCAAATGCGGGGTTCTGGGCCATTTTATAGGGTATTTATTGGGAGTTCGGGGAGTAAGAGACACAAATATCAGAGAGGGGGTGGTAATTTCCTAAATGAAGAACCCAAGAGGCCCCCACATGGACTAACTAATGTTTTCCACCTACAAATTAAGCTGACTCCAGCCGGCAGGCCCGTGCTATTTAAGGGCTGAGCGGGGCAGAAGGTCCAGCTGCGCTCTGCTCCCTCAGCCTCCGCCCAGGCCGGCCAGCGCATCCCCACAACCATGAGCCGACAGCTGCACCCTTTCCCCGGCGGGGAGCGCCTGGGCTTCAGCGGCTGCTCAGCAGTCATCTCGGGCAGGGTCAGCAGCAGCTCTGCCTCCTTCAGGGCGGGCGTCAAGGGCACCACCGCCTTTGGCAGCAGAAGCCTCTTCAGCCTGGGGGGCGGCCGGCGCCTGGCTCTGAGCGCCTCCGCCGGGCGAGGCGGCGCCTTCGCGCTGGGCCACTGCGCGGGCACCGGTGGCCGCCTGGGCGGCTTCGTGGGCACCGTCTTCGGCAGCGCCGGGCTGGGCCCTGTGTGTCCCTCCGTGTGCCCGCCAGGGGGCATTCCTCAGGTCACCGTCAATAAGAGCCTCCTGGCCCCCCTCAACGTGGAGCTGGACCCCAAGATCCAGAAAGTGCGCGTCCAGGAGCGAGAGCAGATCAAGGCGCTGAACAACAAGTTCGCCTCCTTCATCGACAAGGTGGGTCCTGAAGCATGTCCCCGCACTGGTTAGCATGCGGACAGGGGTGCTCGCTCCGCCTCTGACCGCTGCGTGGGAACCTGGGCAAGTTAGCTCTCCCAGCCTCCCTTCCCTGATCTGTGAAATAGGCTCAAGAGCGGCTCTTACCCAGGAGGGTTGTGAGAGGATGAGCTGGGTGTGTATCAGGTGCTTAGAACAGTGCCGGCATCAACCACAGCCTCATTCTGTCTTTATAGGATAAGACTCTGGGAAGGGGGTTAGTGTCTGGAGCAGGAGATGCATGGGACGGGCCCTCTGAGGGCTCTCAATGTCAGACAAGGAGGGGGAGACACACATTCAGGACAGGGACACTAGTGGGACACAGGCCAGCGGTGTCATGTGACGTGACGCTTGGTGAATGGGGAAGGCCTTGGAAGGTAAGAAGTGGGATAACATTGTAAGCCAGGATGGTTTTTAGAGGAGATGTTTGAAAAAGTCCAGAAAATTGAAGGATGAACCTGAAGGAGATGCAGAGGAGGGCACGTCAAGTTACACGTGAGTGTCGTGCATGTGTGTGGAGGGTGCCAGAAATTGGGAGGACAGGGAAGATATCTCTGGAGATTCTGAGGTAATGACCCTAATGAATGGGGAGGAGACAGGGAATGAGCTCCTCTTTTCTCCACCTGGAGCAGAAGGTCTAGATCATGAGTGACAGGGGACATAATACTAACAATCGCTGATTCCTCAGTGCCTAGTGCTGTCCCAAGTGGTTCATGTTTGTCAACGTGCAAACCATGATTCTGTTATCATTCTGCCATGCAGACGAGGAAACTAAGACAGAGGGAGGCTAAGAAACATGCCCCAGCTGATAGAACAGGCAGCAATAGCCTGCCCCTCACCGCTGTGCCTGGGAAGAGGAAAGGGGTGGTTGGATGGGCGAAGTCGGGAGTAGAAGAAACAGAGCTACTATCCCAGAGGGCAGGCGTCATTTTCTTCCCCTCAGTCTGTTCTTCCCTCACATGCTCCTCTGCCTCAAGCTAAAGAGACAGGTGAGAAGAGGAATACTGGTGAGTAGCAGAGTGCCTGAGTTTCGTTAGTTCAGAAATGTGAAACTTTCGGTATAGTAGGAAGGAAGCTTGTGAAGATGTGACAGCCCTCTTTGAAAACCAAAGAAACAAACCAACCAAGAGCCATGTAGGCTGCACATGAGAAAGAACATACTAACCACCAGAGTGACTTTCCAATGCCATCCCCCCATCTTTGTTTCTCTTCTGCTTCCCATTTCCCTTCACTCTGAAAACACCAGCGTTGATAGTGGAAGAAGCTCCCTCATGGCACGATAACCCATGACGGCAGCATTGCTTAAGCCCACTTCCCGATTTCCTTTACACTGGCTCTTATTTCTTGTCCTGGACACCTAGATAGGCATATCCCCCTGGCTGAATGTACTCTCTAATGAGTCTTGCTCTTTCCTGCCCCACCCCAATCCCAGGATGACGGCATCTGATTTCTGGACCCTCTCCCCATCCCTAAGAGACAACAGGATGGAGATTCTGATAGAACAGGCAGCAATATGACCGCCTTTGGGTTCCAGGTGCGGTTCCTGGAGCAGCAGAACCAGGTGCTGGAGACCAAGTGGAGCCTGCTGCAGCAGCTGGATGTGAACAACTGCAGGAAGAGCCTGGAGCCCGTGTACGAGGGCTACATCAGCACCCTGCGGAAGCAGCTGGAGACGCTGTCGGGGGACAGGGTGAGGCTGGACTCGGAGCTGAGGAACATGCAGGATTTGGTGGAGGACTACAAGAAGAGGTGAGTGGGCAGGCAGAGAATGTGCCCCTCGAGGGTCTTGATTACAGATGAGCACCAGCATTTTTGCCTTCTTAGATCTTCTTGTGATCCCATTGTGATGTCCCTTCCTGTAGTGGAGGGAGAGAGATTCAGACAGAATGAGGCTTGGGAAGAGAAAAGAGTTACCCAAAATGGTGCTCTGAATTGCCTAGGAAATGGTATGTTCAATTTTTTTTTTTTTTTTTTTATCTTCACCCGAGGATATTTTTCCATTTTTTGTACAGATAGAGTGGGAGGGAGAGAGATGAAGGGAGAGAAAGAGAGAAACATCGACGCGAAAGGACACATCGAGTGGCTGCCACCCGCACGACCAACCAGGGCCAGGAACAAACTGCAACCGAAGCACGTGCCCTTAGCGGGAACTGAACCCAGGTCTGTCCGGACCTCAGGCCGACGCTCTAACCGCTGAGCCAAACCGGCTAGGGCGGTATGTTCAATTTTTAACATTGGAAATGGAGGAATGGTTCTCCCAACCCAAATGGCTTTGCAGTTCCTCCTGAGTGAGGTTTTTCATGGGAGTTTCCAGAACATGAGAACAAATATTAAAGTTAAGCAAAAAATGAGTTTCTAAAGCTGTTTCATGATGAGGCATATCTATGCTGCTGAATGCCACCATGTAAGAGAAGAATTGGGAATGTACTCTGAACCAGAGATCCCTCCCTCACCAAGTTGAGGACAGGGGACACATCTGGGCCCAGTGTGATCTGATATTTGGGCAGTTTGCTTCCAGAAGCCAGGATTTCTGGGATAGATGACGGTCACAGTTCAAGGGGTGAAGACCGTCAGAGCTGAGTAATTTCCTTGTTCCATGTTTGATCTGCTTGTTCACCCCCTTTGTGAAGTCCCCCCAAAGCAGAACTTGGCCTGAGCCTTGGCCTGAGGGAGCAGGTAACATGGTCCCTGACCTCTGAAAGCACACAGACTGTGAAGACTTTCAGATAGCTCCCAGTCAGTGGAAATGAATTCACTGTGAATTGAGATCGAGTGAAAGTAAGATGGGAGTATTGGAGCCCCATGGAGCTTTGCGAAGGATTCTGGGAAGAAGAGAGGGCTGCCCGGCACAGCCCAGAAGTCAGGTCAGAGGCACCCAGGGACTGCTCTCTCTGAGCCTTTCCGAGTGGAAAGCCAGGTGGTCCAGAATTACCACCCACTAGTTGAGTGACCATGGTAAGTCCCTTGATCCTTGGTGAAGTTTAGTTTTACTACTTAAAAAATCAGATGCTGTTTTACCTGACTTGCCACCTACAAGAGCAGTTGAGAGGGAACCGCCAGCTAGTAATGTATTAACAGCTCTTAAAAGAACCAAAGAGCTAGACAAATGTAAGGTGTTTTTCCTTGATGTCAGAAGTCTTGGATTAGGGTCCTAGCTTCACTATTAACTAGCATGATGATCTTGGGCAAGTCTTTGCTTCACTTATAAAATGGAGAAATAATAATAGAACCTACTTTATAGGCTTTTGTGGCAAATTAAATGAAATAATGTATGTGAAGACTTTAGTGTGATGTTAGCTTGTAGTAAGGGGCAAGAAAAATATCAGCTGCATTTATGTATTGTTATTATTATTTTAAAATTAATTGTATCATTCTCTCTGTTACCTGTGGGTTCTCAGCTATTGTTTTTGGTACCTCTCTTATGTTATATCATAAAAGATCCTGATCATAAGTCATCTTTGTGTTAGAATTTTCAGTGTATTTACCTTCCTGTAAAACTATGAAATTCTAAGCCCTGGTGGGTAGCTCAGTTGGTTAGAGCATCATCCTGATATGCCAAGGTTTCAGGTTCGATCCCCGGTCAGGGCACATACAAGAATCAACCAATGAATGCACAAATAAGTGGAACAACAAGTCACTGTTTCTCTCTCAAATCAATAAAAAAGAAAAAAAAACTATGAAATTTTGGAGAACAGGCAGTTTGTGTCTTAAGCATCATTGTGTACTCTGGCAGTGGTCAGGTTTTTTCAAAGGCACTCTAAAATAATTTTTAAGTACTATACACACACACACACACATACACACAGAGAGAGAGAGAGGAAGGGAGAGGGAGAGAGATAGAAACATTGATGAAGAACATCGAACATCGATTGGCTGCCTCCTGCACACACCCTACTGGGGGTTGAGCCCTAAACCCGGTCATGTGCCCTGACTGGAAATCGAACCGGTGACCTCTTGGTGCATGGGATGATGCTCAACCACTGAGCCACATCGGCCAGGCAGTATTCACAATTTAAAAAAATCTCCTTCCAATTTAAAAAAGCTGACAAATTTTTTTATTATAAATTTAAGTCATTGCAAAAGACATAATTTCAAGCATATTATATATATCGCCAGTTTAAATGATAAGGGCTACATTAACTCATTTAAATGTATCCAATTGGATCTAGGTGTCACGGCAGTTAATAGCTACCATCGTTCATCTAAAAAGTGAATATGAAACCACAGAAATTTCTTTTCTGTGATGTTACTGGCTCTGATTGTTCATTCAGTATATTTGACTATATATCACGTTTTATAATCATTGAGGCAGAGAAATACTCACAGAGTATTTCATGGAAAACCTTTCTTTTATCTCAAGGTTAGAAAAAAGAAATTTATTAAAAATACAAAAAAGTTAATGTGAACAAGCCCTGCTTTAAAAATCATAAAATGTACCTTGATCCTTTCCTCATTTGAACTACAATTTGCATGCCACTTTCCCCACGTGATTTCGTTCCAAGGCAGTGCATCTTATGCCTCAGTCTTTTGTTGGTCACCCTCCCTGTTCTCGCTGACCCAAGATCTGCGTGTCACTTGAAGTTTTAGACATTTTCTTGTGATTATATATTTTTCAATGTCTAAAGATTTAGTCTAGGCTGAGTTATACAAACAACAAGAGGTATTACTAATTTTGTTAAATAAACATTGAACATAAATAAGTAAAAAATAATTTTGAAGATAATTTCTTAATGAGTTAAATGGGGAAGATTCCCCCCCCCCCCCCAGATGGCTTAGCTAGTCGTGTATGGATATTGATTCTTGCTAGAACTAGACTGGAATCTAGTCCCATGGTTTTTTCGTTCTTATCTAAGTGCTGGGAGACTTTGTTCATTCAAATAGATATTAATGGAAGGAGTTTTCCAAGAGTAGTGTTACTCAGTTCTTTGAATGCTTTACCAGTTTTTCTGCTTTTTTTCTGCCCATTGTACTTATCATTTTCTCACATGCTATGTAATTTACTTATTTGTTATAGTTACTGTTTCTCTCTCACTGCTGCATGAAAGCAGGGATATTTGGTTTGTTCTTTGATTTATCCTTGGCTCCCCACATTCGCTGACCGTGTCAGAATCACACTGTGACATGTTACTGAAAGGTCCTTTTCCAACCAGCTCTCAGCCGACAACTCGGTTCTTTCTTTATTTTTGTTGAGCACAAAAACAGGGAAACACCTGACTTGCAAAAAAGAAACTTGGTTTGTTTCCTAGTCAATAACATCATTTACCTTCCAGATTTCTGGGAAGCTTTTCAAAACCACAGTTTTATGGAGACCAATCCGATGACTGCTGCTTATACACTCTGTCCCTTAGCGCATCAGGTTTACGCCAATAGACCAGAAAGGACTGGGAACACGCAAACATTGTTAGTGTTCAATACTCCTTTGCCTATTTTCTATTTAAAAAAATGTTTCAATCCTACTTTTTACATATGTGTACACACAGACACACTTACCAATGTTTTAAAGCTGCAGATTTAGTTCCTTCAGTTTAAAGAAAACATCTACCGTCCAGTGTCTTTGGAAAGCCAGCGTTTCCTGTCAAGCCAGGGAATTAAGAGTTGCTTTCTGTCAGGAAAAGTCTGATTTAATTTCCAAATTCAAATAAGTTCAAGTAAAAATATAAATATGCACTTTGGGAATTATTATAAAATCCACTCAGCAAACAGCAAGAAATACATCTTGTAAGTATTCAAGATTGCATTCAAGCATTCAAGATTAAAATGATGTAGATTTAATCTAATTGACATTTTAATTAAATAATAATCTATTTATGTTTTAAAATAGGATAAATCAATATGCATTTTCTCATGGTTTAACTTTTAATTATGTATTATAGTGTGTCTTTTAAATTTAAGTTATTTATAAAGTCAGTAGTACTACAAAATGCATTATTAGTCTTTGTAAATGTGTGTATGTGTGCATTGAGCTCTGGTGTTTGGTTTCTAAAAGTAAATAATGAAAAATTATTTGTAACAAATGAATGTGTAGTTTATGAAATACGAAGATGTAAACTGCTAACATCGAATTGGCCTGCCACTAGCACGGGCTTTTTTTCTGTTAATAGGAGGAAGATAAGACTGAACATTTTCTAAGATAATATGAGCTGAAGATTGGTTGTAGGAGAAACAGCTATTTCATAACAAAAGTTGATAAAAAGAAGCTTTCAGTGATCTTTTGAATACCACACATGGAATCTGAGATAAATTATATCATCTGTTTTCTGTGTTTTATCCAGTGTAACTAGAAAAATCTGGCAGTTTTCAGAAAAGGCCCCAGTCCCTTTCACCAGCCTGTACTACTTCAGCCGCCCAACAGGGTCCCCCCCCCCCCCCCCCCGGCAGTCAGTGGCCTTAGGAAGGAGCAAACTGAAAAGATGCGCTCATGTTAGAGTGTATCAAAAAAGCCATTTTCTAGCATTCATTATTTCTTTCCAGTGCTCTGTGTTGGCTCTCACAAATGTCCTGTAATCCAATCTTTGACAATGGCAAGAGATGAGATAGTGAGGTCGTTAAGTGAAATGATCAATACTCTTACCCCCCCAATTCACAATATATCTGTATTCAGAACATCTCACCCCATCCAAATACCTATTTCCAAGACCTTGCTTCGCCTGAAACAGATGTATTTATAAGAAACAGGTATAACACACAGCTCGGAGGTGGGACAGTATTTTGTTTGGTGCCTGTGAGGTTTGCACTGGACCAGTGCACAGTGCTGCTGCGGACAGAGGAGGGGCGGCCTCTCTGCTGTCTCAGGGAGAGGGCAGTTGTGAACGGGAGGTGGGACAGCGAATTCCAAGGCAGATCCATTTAGGGCAGTCTGTGTGTGGTCTAAGGAGCTGAAAACTGACTCCTTTAGACCTGTTCTTGTCTCATCCCCCTCCCCCCCCAGGAAGGCTATGCATGCCCCAGGGGTACATGACCAAGTCTGTAGGCCACTGCCATGCAGCTCTTGGCACAGAGGTGATCACTAACTGCTTAGTGAGCATTTGCAGAACTGAATTGTCCCAGTGGCCATGCTCTCTCCTTTCTCTTGCCCTGCGCAGGTATGAGGTGGAGATTAACAGACGCACAACTGCTGAGAATGAGTTTGTGATGCTCAAGAAGGTGAGGGGGGCAGGAAGGGCTGGAGGAAGCCTAGAGGGCTCCCTGAGCACTAGGCTGAGGAAAGGGACCCTTAGTCCCTTGGGCAAGGGGGGACTGAGATTCGAATTTTCCTGCTCCTCTCTCCAAGTCCCTTGCATGTTATTCCCAGAATCTGTCAGTTTAAAACCCAGGCATGTGCCACGCTTCTGGTACACCAGAGCACTGCACATTGGTTGGTTTGCCCTCAGGGATGGGCCACCTTGGGAAACATGGGGATGGGGAATGCCGAGAGTAGGGAGGGAGGCTTCTTGTGACAGGGAGGGAGGGAGAGAGGGAGGGAGGATTGGAAGGAGGGAGGATGAGAGGGAGGGAGGGCACCTGGCCACTCACTGGCCGTGTTCCCCAGGATGTGGATGCTGCCTACATGAACAAGGTTGAGCTCCAGGCCAAGGTGGACTCCTTGACAGATGAGATCAAATTCCTCAAGTGCCTCTATGAAGGGGTAAGGACCTCACTGACCTCCTTGTGTGGTCTGCCCCTCTTACAAGTGGCTTCGGGCCCTTGGCCCAGGTGGTTGTGTGGACCAAAGACTAGCAGAGAAGCCTTTCAGCTCAGTGCAGCTGAGGCCCTACTATGTGCAGAGCCATGAGATGGGCTTTGAGGAAACCATGATGGAAAAAATGATTCCTGTCCTCCAGGAATTCACAATCTCAGAGAGCTGAGCTGTGCTAAAAAGCATGAGAGGCCTAGAGGAGGGAAGGTCATTGGCATCTCCCTAGAGAGCTCTGAGTTCCACATAAGAAGTTTAGACTTGATTGTGTCGGTGAAGGGTGGCTATTGCTGCAGAGTGTGGAACAGGGTGGGAGCAGTCCTGAGTGCATGGTGGAGAGCTGAAAGCCCAGCTCGTGCATCTCACATCCAGCTGGCCCTGGCACTGTTGGGCTCAGCTAAGGAAGGGCAGAAAGGGACCGTGAGGATCAGGAGACATACTCCCCTCATGGGGAGGCTCTAACTGACTCCACTCCCCTAACTGCCCTCCAGGAGATCGCTCAGATCCAGTCCCACATCAGTGACACATCTGTCATCCTGTCCATGGACAACAACCGGGACCTGAACCTGGACAGCATCATCGACGAGGTCCGGGCCCAGTACGAGGAGATCGCCCTGAAGAGCAAGGCTGAGGCCGAGGCCCTGTACCAGAGCAAGGTGAGCTGTGTGCCAGGTGGGAGAGGCTGCTGCCCTCTCATCCTGTGTGCATGTGTGTGCTTGTGTGTGTATGCGTGCATGTATATGCTTGCGTGTGCTTGCATGCATGTGTATTTTGGCTGGGAGGAGACCTCTTTCGTCTTGCAGTTGGGCTTAGTGGAAATGCCTCCCTGTGGACCAGGGAGACCAACCACAGTCTTGGCATATGTTGGGGACATATATGGAGCTTAGCCCTTCTTCTGCCATGGCCCTTACTGACAGCAGAGGCCACACCAGCCGCAGCTCCAACAAGACTCTGACAACATTTCTGGGGATAATCCAGATGCCGTGGCTTTTCTTTCTGTTCTTAACTTTGTCAAAATAAGGATAGTAAATTCGAACTCCACTAAGGCTCTCACATTTGAGAACCCGAGGAGACTGCTGAGCTGGGGCAGGGCTTTTCTATTCAGAAGGAAAAAGTTGTCTTTCTCCCTTTCCCCCTCCCTCCCTTCTGCCATCTCTGTCCCTCCTCCCTCCTTCGAGTGTGTCTACACTGTCTGGATAATGAGAAGAGCTTGTGGCCCTCCTCCTCCAATGAACACCCGTGAGAGGTGAATGCTAACTGTCCTGTGCTCCTCTTCTCTTCTCCCCTCAGATCCAGGAGCTGCAGGTCACAGCAGGCCAGCATGGGGATGACCTGAATCTCACCAAGGCTGAGATCTCAGAGCTCACCCGGCTGACCCAGAGGATCCGCTCGGAGATAGGCAGTGTGAAGAAGCAGGTGGGTTCTATGCAATGAGTCAGATAACAGGGTTTACTGAGCACCAATCTGTTTAGGACCAAATGTGGAAAAGGGTCCCTCTTTTGGGCATTTGTAATTCATCAGGAGAGAGCAGTCTGAGCAAGTATGGAAAGATGAAGCGTCCACCCAGTAGGTGGCATGTCCCCTGAGTGCCATAGGAGCCCTGAGGTGGGATTAGACAGGCAGAAGGAGAGGGGACAGGGTCTGGGGAGGGAGCCCGCAGGAGCAGTGGATCCCAGGTGGGGACGTGCATGGCATGTGTGCAGGAAGGAGAGGCATGGACCCCGAGCAGAAGGTCCAGATGGGGGGGGGGGGGGCAGGGAGCAGGACAGCCCTGGGTCAGAAGGGGTGAAGTTGGGCAGTGGGGTTTAGACCCAATGCAGTAGGCAAAGGGAGGCATTGGAGGTTTCACATGATAAATCTGAGCTGGAGGAAAGAGGGTCGGGCAGTGGATTTCAGAGAAGAGTAGGCCTCCCACCTCGGCCGAGGGCTCTGTTCTGTGATTGCCTGTCCCAGTTCCGAGGATGGGACATGGTTTGTTCTGGCCAGACAGCTGGGTCCTAGGGGTCTCTGCTGAGGCTGTAAACTGCTCACCCAAAAAGCTGTGGGTGTTTGCACGGCTGGGGACCTGCCCGAGAGAGGGGGTGACAAGAACCAGCTGACGACAGGCCAGAACTTCACATGGCCTTGGGTTCAGCTGCTCTCCTTGGGGTGAAGCAAATGCGACTCCAGAAGCAGGGGACACACTAGAAAGAGAAGTGAGATGCTCCAGTCCCACCAAAGCCTTGGTCAACAACCAGAACACACCCCCAAGACTAAAAGGCGGTGGAAGGCTCCCTCCCCCACTATCCCACCCCCCCCAGACTTTGCATGGACCCGCAGAGCCCTCCTGCAGCCTCCCTCTGCAGGTTACCTTTCCACCCAGCAGCAGATGCTGTCGGCTGGTGAAACCTGCCGGTTAGCTTGTAAGGCTGCTGCCGTGTAGCAGGATTCTCTGCGACACTTGGAAGGCCAGATTCTCAGTATGGCAGGTTTACTGGATAGACATTTCATTCATAGGAACTTTGTTAGTCCTCAATTTTTTCCCCCATGGTTTACAGGATCTCCCAAGACAACCTTTACACTGCGAGGCAAAATTAAGGTCAGCTACGCAGAGACTTTTCAGGGTTGGCATTAGAATCTCATAGCTCATGTTACACACCAGGAGGGAGAGGGCAGGGGCCATGTGCTCAGCTGCCCACCTTCTCAGTGCCCTTCCCTTCCTCTGTCCCGTGGGGAGGACGCTCCGCCTTCACATGCCGCAGCACGAGTCAGGGTGAACCAGCCTGCAGTCAGGGGAAGGACACATTCTCCTCTAGTAATTCCAAAGGTGGAGAGACCAGGAGGACTTCAGAGTGTTTGCTATCAGTCGGGACCCAGTGAGGGGAGGTCATCTGAGTGGGATCTCAGAACTGGGCTCTGACTCAAAGCGCTGAATTCGTTTACCCTCAGTGCTCCAACCTGGAGACGGCCATCGCCGATGCCGAGCAGCGGGGCGACTGTGCCCTGAAGGACGCCCGGGCCAAGCTGGACGAGCTGGAGGCTGCCCTGCACCAGGCCAAGGAGGAGCTGGGCCGCATGCTGAGGGAGTACCAGGAGCTCATGAGCACCAAGCTGGCCCTGGACGTGGAGATCGCCACCTACAGGAAGCTGCTGGAGGGCGAGGAGTGCAGGTGGGCCAGATGTGCTGGTCTGCACCAGTTATCTCCTTGCATGAGTGGGAAGACCGAAAGCAAACAGTTTGGTTTTGTTCAGGTCCTACTGAGGTAAAACCTTAGAGAAAATGGGCTTTGACATGGTACAATAGGAAAGACCAAAGTTAGACAGCAAGAAGAGCTGAGTTATAAAAACTCCCTAGAGGTGGAAGCAGAGGAAGTATTAACATCAACACTTGAGAAACAGAGCAGCACTTGGCCCTTCGTGATGCGTTCTCGAGGGTGGGTGTGGGAGGGGCAGGATGGCCCCCAAGAGTCAGGTACTTTCAAGGTCGCTCTGGCAAAGCTGGAGCCCAGTGAGGATGTGAGCTCATTCCTCGTAATTGTCTAAGACCAAAGGCATAACTAGAGGGAAGCAGAGGCACAATTATTTCACACATCAGATAATCCCAGAGCTGCTTTGATGGAGAGCTGACTCCCTGCAACAGGTTATTCATCTTGGCTCTCCATCCCTTGAGAGAACTGCTGGGGTGCTTGGGAAGAAGAGTCTGGGATCGGGTGGCGGTGGGATGTTCTGGGGGGAGAAGCTCCTTCACGGGAGACTCCTGGTGATGGTCTACCAAGGCTTTACCTGCTTTTCTCCTCCCTCTTCAGGATGTCTGGTGAATATCCAAACTCTGTGAGCATCTGTAAGTACCTGCAGGACAGTCCCGCCCTTGGTCACCACCACAGTCTGAGTTCCTCTGATTCCCTGACTCCAAAGACAAGTCAGATACTAGAGGGGGTTCAGGGAAGCTTGGGAGCACAAAGAGGGAGCTGCTTTAATCACCAAGGAGAGTAATGGATGGAGAAAAAAATAATACTGTGAAATACAAAGTATAACCTGTAGAAAATCAAATGTTACTTAGCAGCGCATAATCCAAGAGTCTGTTGTAAGGATAATGCTTAATGGCTACATTCTATTTCCACCGAGGCCAGACCCAAGACAGCAGAGAGTTATTGAGGGAAATCTGAAAGGGAAATGACGGGAAAGGGCTGGGATCCCCTCCTCCAGATGTAAAAGCTAGAGAGAGTGAGGGGGTGCTGTCTGTGACGGCGGGGGGCACGCGGCCTTCCTTCCGCAGCAGCACCGAAGGCCTCCATGAAGGCCTTTCTCCCTGAGGCCCTGCCCGTGGGGAAATGCACGGGTAGAACCTGCAGAAGCTTAGAGTGACACAGACCAGCAGGGCAAGATCAAAGACGGGCCCAGGGCATCGAAAATGCCCCGTGCTGATGAAAATCTCCGAGTAGACTAAAAATGCGCAGCAGAGAGAATGCGTCTCAGTGTGAGGCCACCCAGGAGAGAACTGAGGGAGTGGCCAGGATGACGGGCCAGGGTCTTCTCTCGCCCCTTCCAGCTGTGATCAGCAACACCGGAGCCGGAGCCGGAGGGGGCTTCAGCGTGGGCTTCGGAGCCTCCAGCGGCTACAGCTACAAACCGGGGACGGCAGAACTCAAAACCAAAGGCAGCTGTGGCAGCGAGTTCAAGGATCCCCTCCCCAAAACCTTGGGCAGCAGCTGTGCAACCAAAAAGAAGGCCTCCAGATGAAGGGCAGAAAGCCACCCTTCTCCTCCCCAGGCCCCTTTCCAATCAGAAGTGCTGTCCCTGTAACCGCAATCCCAGTCCCCTCCTCTCTCCCTGTTGTCCTCAGCTGGGCGACACTCTCGCGCTGGAAGTCCAGTTGCGGTCATGCTCGGTGACCTCCTCCTGGGCCACCTTCCACTGGGTCACCGCCCCAAATGCAGAGAAAAGACACACGCTCAGCATGCTTCCTTGCGACCAGGTGCCAGCCCCTCTGTCCCCACGTGCCTTTCTTGGGTCTTCACCGCCAAGGGGCTCTCTTTGTCCTCCGGTTCGGGTCGTGTCCAGGTCTCTGCTTCCCCTGCAATAAAGCTCAGTGACACTTGATTCTCCGTGTCAGTCTGTCACCCAAGATGGCAACAGCTGCATCGCCCGTCTCACTCTTCCTGGTCTGACTCCTGCTTCCCTCTGAGTCCCTGGCCTGACGCTGGTCTTTGCTGTCTGGTTCTGGCCAGGCAGGCTCAGGGTGAGCGCTGCTCCTAGTGAACGGCTGAGGTTTGTTACTGACGCCTCTGGGCAGACTCGGGGCTCCCAGGCCCTGGGCCCCTATTTCACACTTTGGCCCTGTGGGAGGGCATTATCAGCCCTGTCACAGAGAGGCTCACACCCCTAGGAGCAAGGAGCCAAGTCACACCAGGCCTGCCAGGCGTTCAGCCTTGGCCTGGCTTCTCCGTCCGTTCTCCAAAGCCCCTCCCGCCCCCCGAGTCCCACACAACGGCCTCTTGTTGCTGGAGTGGTCAGTCTTTCTCTTTCTTCACCACCTCCCTCTCTTGCCAACCCGCCTGCCAATCAATCCTGCCCCCCTTCAATGGCCCTGCTTTCTTTCTCTTCCTGACAATGATTTTCCACCCTAAAGTTTGAGGCTGGCGTGTATAGATGCTTATGGATGCATCTGTATCTATTATGTACGAATAGGAGTAACTCGCGGAACAAATCCTTGGTGAGCCAGGCTGCTCGGGCACTGGGAATACCGACGTAAACACGTGGTGCAGACCTGTCCGCAGAGCGTACAGTCTGGCGGGGACGGTAAAAACAAGCCACTGACAAAGAAATACGTAGCACACTGTCAGTAGTGATAACCACTATGAAGAACTACTATGTGGGGCGAGAAGGGTGCTCTTTGAGGTATGTGAGCATGTTTCTGCAACAGTGTTTGTTTTCTCAGCACAGTTGACTTGAGTAAGGTGCTAAGGAGCAGAATCCTTAAGGATGAGACCACCTTCCAAGGAGGAGAGTGGCATTCAAGGTGCCCGTGACCCCTTCTCCCACATCATTCCCTGTCCTGATTCTCCAGTCTTTCTCCAAGCAGGCCAGGACCTTTGCAAACAGGATTTTTCAGTCGCAGGAATTATGCCCCATTTATTGGAAGCCTGCTTATCCTTTGTGGCCCAGCTGAGATGCCACCTCCCCTATTCATGCATTTTCTGGCCCCTCCAGGTGGGCTCTGTGAAGTCATCAAGTGTTAAATGAGAAGGAACATTAGAGCTGCTGACCCAACAGCGCTCCCCTGTCTCTCACTTTACAGAGCAGCAAACAGAGGCCCAGATGCTAAGCGCTCTGCCCAAGGTCACAGCCTGCACACCCGCAGCACCGATCTCAACGGCATGACAGTTGGGGCTTTATTTTCCTGGTGTCACGTTAGCTGCACACATGTCCGTCCCTTCACCCTGGCTCCTCTTAGCCCCTGCTCTGGGGTCCTCCAGTCTAGTGCGCAGTCAGCACTCAACATGTTTGCGGCAGGACCATGGGCGTCGTCTAGCTTACCTTCTCTGGGGAGACAGTTCAGGGTAGATGCACGTCCCAGTGATTTGACATGCAAATGGTAAAACACATTAGGGTTAAAAGAAATGTGTATTTTCTATGCATCCACATGAATGCAGTTTATGTAATTTATCAACCAAACTGGGACGCTTTTGTCTTGGACACATGCTGAGCTGGATCCTCAGACAACAGGCATAAGCCAGCACCACCTCGGGCAAGTGGCGTCGCGGGTCTAGCACTCTGGCTGAGCAGTCCGTACCTGGCTTCAAATCCTGGCTCTTCTGATGGCGAGATGTGGCCCGGTGCAGGATTCTGCCTTTGTCAAATAGGACCGAGACAAGCTGGTCCTTACTGAGCGCTTCCCTTCCCGCGTGCCCGACACTGTCTCAGCACTAATTCTTCTAAGCACTTGATGCTGGCAGCTCGGTGAGCTCTCCCAGAACCTGATAGGGGTTATTGCTATTGTAATAATTCACATCTCACTAATAGGATACGGAGGCTCAGAGGGCTTAACTAGCCCACCCAGTGTTACATGGTTAGCAAATGACAGAGTTGGGAATTGAACCCCAGTCCAATTCCACAGTCCATGTTTCCAGATGCTACACCTTATTCCCTATCAAAGTTCTCACCTTAGAGGAGAGTTGAGAATGTGAAAAGGGATAATGGAAGAAATACAGTGCCTGGAATACAGTTTGCAGCCAATAGGTGGTCGTTGTTATTATAGTAGTCATGAATGCGTGTTTGTGAAGACTTCAGTGTTTGCTGGCTGTGCACTGGTTCACAGTCCTCAGCAGGACTGTGCCTAGAGACCTGGCTGAGTTTGGCTAAGTGCAGGCAAGAGGGCAGTGGGTCTGTTCATTGACTCACTTTCCCATCCAATCACCAACTGTTTATTTCCAAACTGCTAAATAACTCCTTGGTGTCTGTAGTTTGTGCATACACTGCCCTCTGTCATCCGATCTCGGTACTGCATCTTCCATCTGTGTGGCCCAGGAGGAGAGTTCTCCTAATAGTGAAGGTGTTGGATGATCCTGGACAGGCTCTGTGCTCACTGCCAAGCTGCCCGCTGGAGGGGAAGCTCTTTTGCTCCCTAGTGTGCCCAGGCCCAGCCTCTGTATTGCCCAGGACCTGGCTCCTGTCTCCTCTCCCTCTCCTCTCTGATTCCTCTTCTCCCAGGTGGTGGATGGGGGTGATGGTGTTAGTACTGCTGCTGTCTGAACCTCTGAACCTCTAGTCAGAGAACTCGGGGCCTTCGGACAGCTCTTCCTCAATGGGTGCCTGAGAATGTTGATGCGGAGGTCCTGGGAATGAGAATCCCTATCCCTCATCACTATCCTTCCAGCCCCACTCACACTATGTGCAAACCCTTGCCCTGGCTATATTGGGGAGGCAGGACTCTGAGCACGCGCTCTCTCAGCAGATAATCCAGCGTGGAGACTGGCAAGGCACAGCAAAGGTATCACAGAGGACGAAGGGGGTCAGAACTGAACACTGACCCTCTTGGAAGGCTTCCTGGAGGAGGTGAAAGGGACATGAGTCATCCTGTGTAAGGAAACACATTTGAGAGCCTGAATACCCTTGTTGGTTTGTTTCTTTTGTTACTTATAACCATGACTTGGGCAACTCAGTCTCCCTACTCCTGTGTTACCTCGTTTGTAAAGTGGGAAAAATAAGAGTCTTTTCCTCGCTGGATAGTGGTGAGGATTAAATGAGTTAAAATGTACCAAGAAGCTCTCAGCAAATGATCACTCCATGTCTACACCTGGGGCCCCCTGCCAGGCTAGCTTCCAGCTGGATTACAATCCCAGGCCAGCAGCTCTTCCCCATCACATGCTCCTCAGCCCTTGAAGCCCACATCCAATCCAGAAAATTCTCCCCACTGTCTGCTGGTCCCTCCCAACCCTCTCCTTTGGCCTTCTGCTATGATGTGCAGTGCCTGCCCTTGCTCCACGGGGCCCCGCTGTTCCCTTTCCTTCCCAGTGTTCACCAGTGTGCCCCAGTCCCCGAGTCCACGGGCTCACACCTACAGACTGCTTGCATCCCGGTGTGCGTCCCTCTCCCCCACTTCTTGGTCTGCTGGATCATTTCACAACCAGTCTTCTGAACTGACAGCTGCATGCCACAGCCTGGCCACAAAGTCCACTAGCCTCAGTGCGGGCCCCTGACGCTGTGGAGAGGGAGACTCGGCCTGCAGGCCTCCTTCTCTACAGGGAAGGGGAATAGAACTTTTCAAAGGGGCTGGGCGGCGGTTTCAGCTCTGGAAGGAGGAGCTCACACTTTGATCACAGACTCAGGGGCCAGCATTGAGCATCACCTAAGCCCCATGGGCCTGGGCCTCTTCATCAGGGCAGGCTTGGTCCTGGAGCTGGTGCTTAGGGCCCCTCGCACAGTGTGCTCCTGGCTCCTTCCAAGCAGGCTGGGGGAGGGGAACTGTGAAGGGCTCAGTTTGACCCCATGCCTCCAGCCTCTGGGCTCATCCTCCACCCTCTGTGTTTTAGCCCCTCCCCTGGGGCAAACCCATCCCTCCTCACTGACCTAGTCTTTCCCAGTTCCCTTTTCCTAAAATACTCACTTTTTGTATTTCTTTCTTGATGTCCTACTTTACATTTTTTCCTTCCACTCTTTACCTTGCTGTGGTCATCCAGGCCCTTTAGTGCTTCTGCCCTGCCTGGGTGTTTAAGCTCCCCTCCTAACCCTGTTCCCGGGGTCCAGCAGGCTCAGTTGTAATGTGGGCACAGGAAGAAGTGATGGCCACTCCCCACACCTGAGGCAGGTGCTCCCCCAGCCCCGCCTGCCTCTCCAGCAGCTTCTTCCAAGGAGAGGGGTGGGGGCAGGGATGACCTTCCCCTCCGGTTTGGACAGGGCTGTGCCGAGCTCTGATGGGAGGTAGAGAGCCTGTCATTAGTGGTGACTGGCTTAATTACCACCTGCTGCGCAGCACAGCCCGCCTGTTTGCTTTGGAAATGGGTAAAGGAAGAGGAGGATCAAGCTTCAAACTTCACACTCAGATCAAGAGATTAAGGCATTTCCCCCAGCTTCTCTGTTCTCTTAAGAGAATCATGCAGCAAAAGGGGCTGGGGGTCAGAAAATACCTTACAAACTTCTAGAAGTGGGTGGCGGTGGAGGGGTCTGAGGGAAGCAGTCGGATGAATTAATACAGAAGTGGGGGCCTGGTCGTATTTTGAGACAAACAAATGGAAGAAAAC